CCTGTCACTGGTCATCACTGAGAAAAGCCTAACTCCATCTCCCTGACACTCACCCTTTACATATTTGTAACCATGGATGAGGTCACCCCTCAGTCTCCTCTTCTCCAAGCTAAAGAGACCCAGCTCCCTCAGCCTTTCCTCAGCAGGGAGATGTTCCACTCCCTTCACCATCTCTGTGGCTCTGCCCTGGGCTCTCTCAAGCAGTTGCCTGTCCTGGAACTGAGGGACCCAGAACTGGACACAATATTCCAGATGTGGCCTCACCAAGGCAGAACAGAGGGGGAGGAGAACCTCTCTTGACATCTGCAACTTCAACCCAACAGTGACACAGAGCAGACAGGTCAACAGCACCTAAAACCACAGGGGAGCCCGTTTTTAATGAGAGATACCCAGGAAGTTCATCCTGGGCCATAAGCTCCTCTCTTAGGTCTTTGTTTTTGGTCAACTTCACCCTGAATCTATAAAAATCTACAAGATGAGGCCAATCCCCCTGGAAACACAGAATCACAGAATGGTTTGGGTTGGAAAGGACCCAGCAGCATTGCCCAGGAGAAATACTTCCCCAAGGAAACTATTTTAGGGGGCAATGCACATTTTTCCCCCTATAAATACTGGTTGTCTGCAGCTCCTGAGTTAAAATGCAATCAGACAAAGCCAACTTCAAACAGCCCAACTCTTGGGTGCAAAAGCCCCATTTCAGCATGAGAAATGTCAGCACTTTTTTCATCATCAATGGCTAATAGGGGGACAACTGCCCCACCACAAACTGCTTCCTGGTACTTGAGGAGTTTCCAAGGCTAAAGAAAGGCAGAAAGTTCTTATTTACCAAAAGAAGATGTCTTTGATGAAGTTATGATACCAAAAGGAGGGCTAGGAGGATGATGAAGGGACTGGAACACCTGTTTGGTGTTGGGAAGAACTGGGGAGAAGCTGGGGAGGGACTTTTCACCAGACAGGGCAGTGGTAGGACAAGGGGGAATGGTTTTAAACTGAAAGAGGGGAGATTTAGGTTGGACATCAGGAAGAAAGTCTTCACCATGAGGATGTGAAGGTGCTGGAACAAGCTGCCCAGAGAGGTTGTGGAAGCCCCATCCCTGGAGGTGTTCAAGGGCAGGTTGGATGGGGCTTGTGCAGCCTGGTCTGGTGGGAGGTGTCCCTGCCCATGGCAGGGAGGTTGGAACCTGATGATCTCTAAGGTCCCTTCCAACCTTAAGCATTCCTTGATTCCATGATCAATATCTGCAGGGTGGGTGTCAAGAAGGAAGGGCCAGTCTCTTTTCACTTGAGCCCTGTGACAAGATAAGGGGCAATGGATGCAAACTTGAGCACAGGAAGTTCCACCTCAACATGAGGGAGAACTTCTTTCCTGTGAGGGTGACAGAGCCCTGGGACAGGCTGCCCAGAGAGGCTGTGGAGTCTCCTTCTCTGGAGACTTTCCAGACTTGTCTGGATGCATTTTTGAGTGACCTGCCCTGGGTGGTCCTGCTCTGGCAGGGGGGTTGGACTTGATGATCTCCAGAGGTCCCTCCCAACCCCTACCATTCTGTGCTTCTGATTCTGTGACAAGAGGGCTCTCCCATAGTCAACACCTCAGCTACTTGTGATATCCAGCCAGGCCACCAGCACTTTGACCAAAAACAGTTGGCAGGTTGGACTCCATCACCAATTAACTCTGATGGCACATTTTCAAATAGTGGTAGAATTTTTACTAGTGGTAGAATATGGTAAAACAGAACTGGAATCTGGCATTTTGTCTGTACACAGACATCTGGGACAGAGAGACTTTGGGAATACATTTTAGTCTGCTACAATTAAGAGGGATTTGTCTGCAAAGGCTCAGATTTCAGATGAGATGTGAGGGAGAAATTCTGGGCTGTGAGGGTGGTGAGACCCTGGCCCAGGTTGCCCAGGGAAGCTGTGGCTGCCCCATCCTTGGAAGTGTTGAAGGGCAGGTTGGATGGAGCTTGGAGCAGCCTGGGCTGGTGGGAGGTGTCCCTGCCCATGGTGGGAGGGTTGAAATTAGATGCTCTTTAAGGTCCCTTCCACCCCAAACCACCCAATGATTCTGTGATTGTTTGAACCATAGAATCACAGAATGCCAGGTTGGAAGGGACCTCAAGGATAATCTGGTCCAACATTTCTAGGTACTACTCTAGTTCAGATGAGGTGGCTCAGCACCCTGTCAAGCTGAGACATAGAACTGTCCAATGTGAGGGAATCTTCCACTTCCCTTGGGAGACTATTTTGCTTGGAGAAAGGTCTTGCTGTCCACTAATAACCTTCCAAACTCTTTCCAAGCAGAACCCATGGCCCTGCTGAGCTCCAAGCCCATTGTGACAAAGGGTAGGAGAAGAGCAGCAGCCAGAGCTTCACCAAATGAGAAGCCAAGGTAATAGCTGTGTCTCAAGCCACTGACACCCTCCTGAGCACAAATCATGCTCAGCACCCAGGCAGGGAGCACCTTGTTCCTCCCCAGGAGCACAGACCTGGCGATGTAGCGGCTGGTGGCTGATCTGTTCAGGCAGCTGGATGGAGAGGAGCCAGGGCTGGGCGTGCAAAGCAACCTCCCTGCTGGGAACAAGAGAGAAAAACAACACATCATTTGCTCAGAATCACAGAACATGGCAGGAATTCACACAAACCTCAATGTCTTAGCTCCATGAAAGAATCACAGAACCATTCAGGTTGGAAAAGCCCCTTGGGATCACCCAGTCCAACCATCAGCCCTACTCTACAAAGTTCTCCCCCAAACCAGATCCAACAACACCACATCCAAACAACCCTTCAACACAGCCAGGGATGGTGACTCCACCACCTCCCTGGACAGCCTGTTCCAGGGTCTGACCATGACCACTGTGAACATTTTCTTCCTAATGTCCAGTCTGACCCTGCCCTGGTGCAGCTTGAAACCCTTCCCTCTTGTTCTGTCACTGTGAGAAGAGACCAGCACCAACCTCTCTACAATGACCTTTCAGGTAGTTGTAGAGACTGACGAGCTCTCCCCTCAGCCTCCTCTTCCTCAGACTAAACATTCCCAGCTCCTTCAAGTGTTCTCCATCAGATTGATTCTCTAGGCCCTTCACCAGCTTCACTGCCCTAAATAATAATAATGGTCAGGGGGCTGGAGCACTTCTGCTATGAGTAAAGGCTGTGGGATTGGGATGGTTTAGCCTGGAGAAGGCTCCAAGGAGACCTTATTGTGGCCTTTCAGTACTTAAAGGGGGCTTCTAAGAGAGATGGGGACAGACCTTTTAGCAGGGCCTGTAGCAACTGGACAAAAGGTGATGGTTTTCAACTAAAAGGGGGTTGATTCAGCCAAGATGTAAGGAAGGAACTGTTCCAGGTGAGGTTTAAATTGGGTATTAGGAACACTATGTTCAGCAGTAGGGTTGTCAGGCCCTGGCACAGGCTGCCCATGGCAGTGGTGGAGTCACCATCCCTGAAGGGATTTCAGATCCATGTAGATGTGGTGCTGAGGGACACGGTTTAGCAGTGGAGTGGGCAGCGTTGGGTCAACAGCTGGATTTGGTGATCTTAAAGGTGTCTTCCTACCTAAATGATTCTGATTCTGTGACCTTTAAAAGTCCCTTCCAACCTAAACCATCCAAAGATTCTACGATCTTACTGCTTAACCCACAGCAAGCAGCTCCCAGAGCCCAGATGGGTGAGGATGCTCTTTATGGACCTTCAAATTGCCGTCACCTCCAGCGTGGCCACAGCAAAAGGGCTCCTTGCCAGCTCCAAACACAGGACCTTTCCCCTCTGGACCTGAACATGCCAGAAAAAAAAACAAACAACCAACCCTGAAGGCAACTCATTTGCTTCCACCATCAGGCCAGGAAATTCCCACCCCTGGCTTGGCTGCTCCCGGGAGGCAGGGGAGCCCAGCGCCTGCCGCCGATACGCGCAGAACGAAACCATCCTTGACTGGAGCAGGAAAGAATGAATTGAAAATAAAGGCTGAATTCCAGCTTTCCAGGTGGTACCAGAGAAGCTCAGTCACTCACCTGCCAGCCCGGGCGTGTTGGGGAGTGAGCGAGTGGAATTTGATAGCCCGGCACGGCGCGGTCCCCGAGCTGTCACTCGGGCTGCCGGCGCCGCTGAAGCCCCATCTGTTCCCTCCGCAGCCCTGAGCAGCCTGTCGATCACAGGGATGGAGTAAACTCCCTACAACCCAACCCTGGAGCTCAGCAGGAGCTCCCTCAGGTTTGCTGCAACCGTGCTGAGCAGCAGGCACTGAATCACAGCATCACCAAGGCAGGAAAAGACCTTTCAGACCATCAAGTCCAACCTATGACCAGCACCACCACATCTCCAGACCATGGCACTAAGTGCCACCTCCAGTCTCTCCTTGAACACCTCCAGGGATGGTGCCTCCACCACTTCCCTGGGAAGTCCATCCCAAGGTCTGATCACCCTCTCCATGAGGAAGTGCTTCCTGATATCCCACCTAAACCTCCCCTGGAGGAGCTTCAGGCCAGGCCCTCTCATCCTGTCACTGGTTGCCTGGAAAAAGAGCCCAACCCTACCTGACTAAACCTCCCTTCAGGTGGTTGTAGACAGTGAGAAGGTCCCCTCTGAGCCTCCTCCAGCCTAAACAACCCCAGCTCCCTCAGCTTTTCCCTATAAGACTTTCCCTCTAGTCCTTTCAACTGGGTGTTCAAGCCACCACTGCTGAGAAGGTTTCTCTGCAGGTTTTCTTTATGGCTTCCCCCCCTCGTGGCAGAGCTGCCTCACTGTAGGAGCATCTTCTTGACTACTTTTCAACACCAAAATAAATGGACATCCACTTTGGGTGAAGATGGTGCAGAGCAACTTAGTGAAGATGCAGGTTAAGAGGCCAGCGCGCTCCAGCGAGGTTGATCTTCCAAGTAAGGCAGGGAAAAATGCCCTGAATTAAAGTCCAACCATTAGAGAAGGGTAGAGCATCCTTCAGCCCTTTGCAATTATGTCTAATGCTCCTTAAAGCAAGCTCAGCAGGACAGGCTAAACCAGGAGCTGGCTCCCCAGGGCAGCAGACAATCTCTCTAAATATTTAATATTTGGGCATAAAAGTGGACTCTGGGGGACAAACACGCTCCCGTGCTTCTGTGCCATCCTTTTACTTAAAGCAGCCTGACAGCCACCTCATGGCCAGAAAAGAGGAATAACTAAAGAAATCAAGAAAGAAAAGGTTGCAGCAGCCTCATGCCATGGTTTTTAATTCATATGTAGCAAAAAAAGAACACATCCATAGGATCATGTTTGGGGGTTTTTTGCCTTCTTCTGGCAAGAAGTCAGGCGTGGACACAGAGCTGTTGGAGCAAGTCCAGAGGAGGCCCTGGAGATGCTGGGAGGGCTGGAGCAGCTCTGCTCTGGAGCCAGGCTGGAAGAGTTGGGATGTTCAGCCTGGAGAAGAGAAGGCTCCAGGGAGACCTTAGAGCACCTTCCAGTGCCTGAAGGGGCTCCAGGAAAGCTGGGGAGGGGCTTGGGACAAGGGCAGGGAGGAATGGGAGCAGGGGGAAGGGTTTCCAGCTGGAAGAGGGAGCTGAAGCTGAGATGGGAGGGAGAAATTCTGGGCTGTGAGGGTGGGGAGCCCCTGGCCCAGGTTGCCCAGGGAAGCTGTGGCTGCCCCATCCCTGGCAGTGTTGAAGGGCAGGTTGGATGGGGCTTGGAGCAGCCTGGGCTGCTGGGAGGTGTCCCTGCCCATGGCAGGGGGGTTGGAACTAGATGATCTTTAAGGTCCCTTCCAACCCAAACTATTCTGTGATTCTATTGACTCTATGACAGGCAACGTGCATCTCCCATTATGAGCTCTTTCTGTGAATTAATTCAGCCTGGAGGCAGTTTAACTTCTCAAGAATCATCCCATACACAGCAAAATCCAGGCAAGATGCATCCATCCAGGTCTGGCCAAGCATCAGACTAGCAGTTGGCAAAGAAACCTTTCATCCACGCTTTCCCAGCACCATATGACTCACCCTGCAGGCAAATCCTCCTCAAACTATTTAGAAAATCACCTAAATATGTACCCAGGAGGAGACAGGCCCTGGCTATCTAACACTGCTGGTTTAATAGCTCCATTGTTAAAAATTTTAGAATCATAGAATGGTTAAGATTGGAAGGGACCTTAAAGATAATCAAGTTCCAACCCCCTGCATGGGCAGGGACACCTCCCACCAGCCCAGGCTGCTCCAAGCCCCATCCAACCTGCCCTTCAACACTGCCAGGGATGGGGCAGCCACAGCTTCCCTGGGCAACCTGGGCCAGCACCTTCCCACCCTCATGGTGAAGAATTTCTTCCTGATGCCTGATCTAGATCTCCCCTCTTTCAGTTTAAAACCATCACCTCTTGTCCTATCACTGCCCTCTCTGGTGAAAAGTCCCTCCCCAGCTTTCCTGGAGCCTCTTCAAGCACTGGAAGCTGCTTTAAGGTCTCCCTGGAGCCTTCTTTTCTCCAGGCTGAACACCCCAACTCTCCCAGCCTGTCTCCAGAGCAGAGCATTTTGCAGTCCACTGAGATTTACAGAGGAAACTCAGCAGCAAGGGAAGAGATGCAGGAGAGAAGGTTTTATGTCTCAAGACCTTTATGGAGGTCCGAGGAGCCCAAGTGTTGATTTTTTAGGGTGGTCACCAACTCAGTATGCCCAGTTAGAACCACTGAGAGATTTGCTTTAAGAAATACCAAGTGTTTGATGATTTGCAGACAGTGGAGACTGAGGGTGCATCTGTATTATTCAGGTAACCTGCAGAGTGTGAAACTGGAGCTGAGCAAAAGACTCGGTAGAACTGGATAAGGGTTAAAGAAAAAAAAAATCAGAGCTGAAATTTGCTGCAGTCTGGATTAAATTCAATAAAAAGCCAAAATTACTCCCCCAGGGCTTGAGCCTGATCTCTGGGAGTTTCATTTGGTCCAGGTAACACATTTTTGTTTTGCTGGACAGATGCCAGTCCCAAATCCATCCTGGTTTTCTCCCCCAGTTGCTCTCCAAGCAGGGAGAGCGTCAGGACGCGGAGGTGAGGTTGGAGCAGGAGAGCAAGTCACACACCCCATATTCTGCTCCCCTCTGCACTGCAGAAGGTCCCGAGCTGCAGAGAGCAAGGGGAGTTAAAAGTAATAAAAAAAAATAAGGCAGGAAAAGAAATCACAGCTGCTGGGGAGAGCATCAAGAACTGCACATTAAGGGCTTTTTAACTGATTACACACAGCGCGGCAGCGTCAGGCTTGATATTTTATACCCCGCCGAAGGGACAGGTGTTTTCCCCTCTCTCTGCTTTTTCTTTCTTCTATTTTTTTTCCCGCTTTCCCTTCTTGATGATCCCTTCGGCTTGAGGCACAAGGAAAACCCAGAGCCCGTGCAAACGGGGGCTGCTCCTCTTCATGCATCATCCCAACCTGACACCGACCGCTCCGCCGGTTCTCGGCGTTATCAAGCGAGAGCGGCGAGAAGTGATTGTTGTGCCCAACCCAGCCGTGAGACTCGGTGCGTCTCTCCGGAGGGAACAGGAGCTGTCATGTTCATTAAATGCATGATTACAGCTATGATTAATAGCAGGGGCTACAGCCTAACTCCTCTTATGATTATTTT